GGCATATTTTTTTTTCTAACATTAAATATGCTTTTCTGCACACAGAATATAGATAGCTAGTACTTTTTTTGGTAAACACAGAAGCCAGTAGAGGAAGTTCTGCACTACTCATTTCCTCTGCTGCCGTCTGTTCTTTTCAGTGACAGCACCTCTGAGAGACACACATAGAGCCCTCCCTGCCAATACAGTATGGAGGAGGAGGCTCCCAGTACCAGCATGAAGCATGGGGAAAAAGCAATGTACTTTGGGGGAGGTCATTTTGGTTATATAAATATAAAAAATCACGCAGTGGATGGGGAAGGGGCTTGAGAGACAGATGTGGCTATTCTTGGAGAAAAAAAAAAAACCTGCAGACATCTTACACTTTGTATATGCCTACTTTAAATATGAAGGTCATTAAAATAGATGGGGACAATTAAGAGGGTAGATACCTTGGTCTGGAGTATGTAAAGTACAGCACAAATCACAGAGTACAGCAATGTGGAGTATCGAGAGTGCAGAGATCAGGACTATGTAACATACAACTGAGAATACAGAGTTCAGTGGTCAGGAGAATGTAACATAATGCCATTGCAGGTCATTGGGGGAAAGAATGCTCTCCTGGTTGTGTTTGGGGCCGTGCATCCGCACGGATGTCAGATTGGGAGAAACACACTGGCATAGAGCCGAAGTGCAGGAGCAGTCACTGAATCCCAATTGACATCAATGGAACTGCCTGCACAGGGATGCACGGGACACTTGTGCAACCCTGTGTGGGTAGACATGGCCCTCCACGAGCGTATGCTTTAATAAACCCCATGTGAACAAGACCAAAGAGGATCCCTGGCTGTTTACAAAGAGAAGTAAAGCAGCCCCCTAATGTCCTTTATTTGACTATCCCTTCCCTCTCAGCCTAGAAAATGGACATAGCTGATTTTTAACATTTGGCTCTTATTGACTTCAATGGGGTTTGGATTTAGCAACCAAACTTCTGTAATCTTCACTGAACCTGCCTCGATCCACACATACATTCAGCATATCCCTTACTTTCAATCCAGTACTAAAATTTACAACTCTCTGCCTCACAGCACAGTTTTGTCTGGCAGGGAAGGAGACCTGTTTATTCTCTCCTGAAGTTAACACTCACAGGTCTACTCCCACCCCTTGCCTGTGACTGGACAGTGAAAGGAGAAGCAGCGAATTGATGAGCTCATATCTATCACTCTATTCTCTCCTCTTATCAGCATGACTCTTGCACTGCAGGATACTGGCTACTTGTGCTGCTTCTTCCTCTCCCAGTGTAATGGATAGGTTCACCTTTGTAAAAAAAAATAAACGCAGAGAATTTGAAGGTAAAAATGAGGATCGACACAGTAGTACCCTCGAGGAGATGCCTCTATTCTTTAAGAGCTAAAATGATGGCTAATAATTATCTGTCCCCAATTTCGTAATTCCATTCTATTGGAGACAATTTTTTAGAAAAGTATCCCAGAGTAGCCCACATAGGGCCCACAGGGGTAGGACATTGAGACAGGAAAGCGCCTATTCCAGTCTCAGACACAACCTCAAGAATGAAGGGTAACGTAGGATCAGGATGTGCCAGCACTGGGACTGCAGCAAAAGCAGCCTTGAGTGATTCAGAGGCTTTAATGGAATCCGAAGACCAATTCTGTGGGTTGCCGTCTTTTCTGGTCATATCAGTCAGGGGTTAGACCAGAGAAAAGATATTATGAATACATTTCTGATAATAATTAGTGAAGCTAAGAAAACATTGTAGAGGACGTAGACCTATGGGTCCTGGCCACTGTAAGACTGCAGAGAGTTTCTCTATGTCCATCGAAAACCTGGCAGCAGATATGGTATAACCCAAAAATTTTACCTGTTCACTATGACACTTACACTTTTCCAACTTGCAATACAGGTTGTTCTCTCTCAACCTCTGTAGCACACAGGAGATGTCTGTGTGGTGGTTCTCTAGGGATTTTGAATATATAAGAATATCGATATAAACCACCACACATTGCTGCAACATATCTTGGAGGACAGCGTTAATAAATTTCTGGAAAACTGCAGGAGCGTTGCAGAGACCAAAGGGTATTATGAGGTATTCTTACTGTCCACTCCTAGTTTTAAATACAGCTTTCCATTCGTCACACTCTTTAATCCTCACAAGATTGTATGCCTCTCTCAAATCGAGCTTAGTGAAGACCGTAGCTCCCTTGAGGCGGTCAAATAATTCTGTTATCAATGGGATTGGATAAGAATTTTTAATAGTAATGCAAAGGACACCCCTATAATTGATACAGGGTCTTAGTTCACCACTCTTCTTTTTCACAAAAAAAAACAGCGCCACCTAGGAGAAGAAGATTTGTGGATGAACTGAAATAGTGAATCCACAACATCATAGCCATGTCCTCCAAGACACAGGGTAAACCCGGCCACGAGGAGGAATGGAACCAGGTCAAAGATCAATTGTGCAGTCATAAGGCCGATGTGGCGGCAAAATACCGGCCTGACCTTTGTCAAAGATATCAGAGAATTCCCAGTACTCCTCTGGCAAAAAAGAGTCTGAAGACGCGCACAAGACCCTACTCACTTTCTGAAAACAAGTATTAGTGCATTGTGGTATCCATGACAGAACCTCGACTCTATGCCAATCAAATGAAGGACTGTACTTCTGTAACCAAGGATAACCAATGGCAACTGAGTAACGAGGTGAGAAAATAAGTTGGAATTGGATTATCTCATGGCGAAGAGCCCCTACAGCCATGGTCAATGGAGCAGTTTCATGGGTAACATTCTCCCATCAATAGCCTCAATGGCAAATGGGGAGGCACGAGGCTGCAGCGGTATCGAGTGCTTCAACACAAAGGCACTATCTGTGAACAATCCTTCACCCCCAGAATTGATTAGTGCCTGGGTGTTGATGGAAAACTCAGACCAAGAAAGGGTAACCGGAACTAGAGGTTCATCTTTAAGGATAGTTGGGGACGCAAAGACGCCACCTAAGGTCTGTCCCCTACAGGACCTCAGATGCGGGTTTTTCCCTGATGGATTGGACAAAACTTCAATAAGTGACCTGCTTGGCCACAGTAAGGCTATGCTCACACTAGCTTTGTCAGCAGGCGTCAGACAGGCGTTTGGGAAGCATTTTTTTAACGCTTCTCAAACGCCTATGAAAAGTCTGCACATGGCAGCACACAGTCCTGTTCACACTAAGCGTTAGCATCGCGTCATGTTGCATTGTGGCAAAACTGACGCCTCATGTCCAGTCAGGAGTTGAAGCCTCCCTTTTAAGTCTATGATGACACTCCTGAAATGCCTGGCAGGCATTTGCGGGGTGTTTGTGAGGCGTTTGTGAATCGTTAATACCATTAAACTTCATTTTAGGCTTTGTAGTGCGGTTTTAACGCTTGGCAAATGCCTATCAAACGCCTCAAAAACGCGCATTGGGTGTTTGGGGAGCGTTTGAGTAGCGTTAAAAACGCTTCCCAAATGCCTTTGTAACGCCTGTCAAATGTTATAGGGGCATTTGGCAAGAGTTAGAAATAAGTCAAGTGTGAACAAGCCCTTAAGGCATAATCTCTCCCTTCTTCTAAAGGACCTCTCTTCGGCAGAGAGACACGTGATGCCCAGCTGCATGTGCTCTATTTCACTGGAGGACTTGGGCCTAGGATGCATGGGAGGTGATGAAGCATGAGTGGCAATGCAAAGCTCGGAGGGAAGCAAGAAGGCACTCCTAAGTACAGTATTTCCAAATGTTTATTACAAGTAACGGTTAAAACCACTTACAAGAAGGATGTATGGTTCAAGCTTCCCTCCGAGCTTTACATTGCCACCTATGCCTCCTTCACCTCCCATGCATCCTGGGCCCAAGTCCTCCAGTGAAGTAGAGCACATGCAGCTGGGCTGCACTCAGCTATCTTTATGCATTTAGGTCTTTGGGCAAATGTATGCAGCAATAGAACATACTGGGCACCAAAATATTTCAGTGTGCTGTATGGGCAAATGTGATCATGTGCATAAGCCCTAAATGTACTCATTTGCTATAACAAGGTACTTTGCTTCTGGGTCATATGCTTCAAAGCGACAGCTTTGGTGTGATGAAGTCAGCACAGTTTAAAGAAAACGGTACCGACTCTATTAGAAAGGTACATTTATGCTCATTGTAATATACCTACTCACCTTCCCTTAAGTGGCCTTATTGTTTATGTGGGGCTAAACATTGAGTTTTGAGACTGAATTAAAAAAAGGAAATTGTTTGCCAAAATATTTATAACCTAAGGGGGGGTCACATTCTCAGATGGCGACACTAACTTTTAGCATTTATTTTTTTATATATATTAACCACTTGCCTACCAGGCACTTATACCCCCTTCCTTACCAGGCCAATTTTCAGCTTTCAGCGCTGCCGCACTTTGATTGACAATTGCGCGGTCATGCAACATTGTACCCATATGAAATTTTGATCATTTTTTCTCACAAATAGAGCTTTCTTTTGGTGGTATTTAATTGCCACTGGGTGCTTTACTTTTTGCGCTATAAATTAAAAAATTGCAAAAAATTTGAAAAAAAAAAAAAAAAGTTTCTTTGTTTCTATTATAAAATTTTTCAAACAGGTATTTTTTCTCCTTCACTGATGTGCATTGATGAGGCAGCACTGATGGGCACTGATAGGCGGCACTGATGGGCACTGATAGGCAGCACTAAAGGGCACTGATAGGCAGTACTAATGAGGTGGCACGGATAGGCGGCACTGATAGGCAGCACTAATGAGGTGTCACGGATAGGCGGCACTAATATGCAGCACTGATAGGCGGCACTGATAGGTGACACTGATGATGGGTACTGATAGATGGCACTGACTGGCATCACTGCTGGGCACTGACTGGCGGCACTGACTGACACAACCGCTGGGCACTGACTGGTGGCACTGACTGCAGCACTGCTGGGCTGCACTGGTGGGTGGCACTGGTGGGCAGCACTGGTGGGTGGGCACAGGTGGGTGGCACTGGTGGGTGGCACTGGTGGGCACAGGTGGGTGGGCACATGTGGGTGGCACTGCTGGGCACAGGTAGGTGGCACTTCTGGGCACAGGTGTGTGACACTGCAGAGTGGCACAGGTGGGTGCACTGCTGGGCACAGGTGGGTGCACTGCTGGGCACAGGTGGGCGGAGCTAGTGGGCGCACTGCTGGGCACAGGTGGGCGGAACTTGTGGGTGGCACTGCTGGGCACCGATCATCAGGGCACTGATCATCAGTGGCCCTGATGATCGGTGCCGATCCTCGCTCTGACAACTGCCGGTTCTCGGCAGTACTTTCCTCACGATCTGACAGCGTGAGGAAAGTGCAGCCAGAACCGGCACTTGCATTTCCCTGTGATCAGCGTGTCATTGGACACCGCTGATCACGTGGTAAAAGGCCTTTTACCACATCTCGTGATCAGCTGTGTCCGTAGGACACAGCGATCACGGAGATCGCCGGGTGCGCGCCCCCTGGGGCGCGCAGGAGAGCGCGTTCTGGGAGGACGTCATATGACGACCACCCAGAACTGGCCGGCCGCAGTGAAGCCGTCATTCGGCTATCTGCGGTCGGCAACTAGTTAAATATATAAATATTGGCCATGACGGTTTTCACTTTTTTCAGATAATGCACCACTTTGCCCAGAAAATGTTTGCAATTACAAATGTTTAGGCATTCTCATGCTTATTTCTTTTGATTGAATTGGTATGACACTAAAATGTGGAGAAACAAAAAGTCAAATCTGACACATTCCACACAAAACTCCAAAAATAGACTGGACAAAATTATTGGCACCTTCTCAAAATTGTAAGAAATAATTGAATTTCAAGATTGTGATGCTCCTATAATTTGTAATTAAAATCACCTGTATCAATTAACAGGTGCTGACAATATGGAAATCACACTGGCAACCAGTTAAAATGGTGAAAATTTTACTCAACCTTTCTGTTGTGTGAAAAGGGCCGCTATGGTAGGAGACCCAGGAGGACAACACTGCTGATACAGAAACATAAAAAACCCAGATTGGACTTTGCTAAAACATACCTGAGGAAGCCAAAATTCTTTGGGAGAATGTGCTGTGGACACACAAAACAAACTTACAGCTTTTTGGTAAAAAATAATAACAAAGGTGCTAACCCTCAAATGTAATTAACAAAGGTGAACGTAAACCAATGTGACAATAAATGACATATATCAATAATACTAAATCACTGAAGCATGAAATAAATGACCTACAAATAGTGACCAATATTCTATGTGAGCAAATAAATATAAATATATGCTGAATATATATATAAAGCCCTGAGGAAGTCATGCGACTCGTGGAGCAACACATAGGACAGAAGCATGGTGACGTCATTTCTGGTACAGAAAGCAGCTGCCATCTTTGTACACCCTATTGCAGTACACTCATCTCTGCCATTGCTACTATACATGCTTTTATGGGTCTGTGGACCAGATTTTTAATGTGAGTAGGCACTTTTCTTATTTATTTAATAAAACTTGTCTTACTTACTACACTATAGGAAGTCTGTTTTGATTTAATTTTCCATGTATGGTCCATGGGAGAGGATTTTCTTGCCATATCCTGGAGGGGACATCTGAGCTACTATTTCTGGTCCGCTTGTGGAGTGTTCATTTTCCCTATTGAAGAGGATTGCCCTGACAAGTATCGAGGGGATATACAGAGATATCATCGTTGAGCTTATTCATCCAAAGCCTGTATTACCCTTTGTGGGTCATAGCTGGAGGTGAGCGCGCACGCTAGATGGTGGAGGATCTGTTTGCAGTGATCACTGTTTGTTTCACAGCTCTGCTGAAGATACACATATTTATTGGGACTTTGAACTTTGTTGTTTTTTTTCACAGGTTATTTTTATCACATTGTTATATATATATTCAGCATATATTTATATTTATTTGTTCACATATGAATATTGGTCACTATTTGTAGGTCATTTATTTCATGCTTCAGTGATTTATTATTATTGATATATGAAATTTTTTCTCAAATTGGTTTAATTTATCAATTACCTTTGTTAATTACGTTTGTGGGTTAGCACCTTTGTTATTATTCAGTAGTGTAGCACCAGTTAGTTATATATGTTTTTTCACTGTTTGGATTGCAGTTAGGTGCTTGCTGCAACTCCGGCATATGTAGGGTTACTGGCAGCGCAGGAGATTTTTTTTCATATATATTTTTGGTATACAAATGAATCTACTGTTTTCAGAAAAAGCAACAAGGTCTTTAAAGAAAAGAATACAGTCCCAAACATGGTGGAGGTTCACTGATGTTTTGGGATTGGTCTGCTGCTTCAGGCACTGGATGTTTTGACCGTGTGCATGGCAATATAAAATCTGAAGGCTACCAAAGAATTCTGGGGTGCGATGTAGGGCCGTGTCAGAAAGGTCGGTTTCTGTCAGAGGTCATAGGTCTTACAGCAGGACAATGACCCAAAGCACATGTCAAAAACCACCCAGTAATGGTTTAAGACAAAGCGCTGGAGAGTACTGGCCAGCAATGAGTCCAGATCTCAATCCCATAGAGCACATGTGGAGAGATCTCAGAACAGCAGTTGGGAAAAGGAACCCTTCCAATCTGAGAGACCTGAAGCAGTTGGAGAAAGAAGAGTGGTCCAGAATTCCAGTAGAGAGGTGTAAGAAACTCATTGATAGTTACAGGAAGTGATTGATTTAAGTTATTTTATCCAAGGGGCATGCTGCCAAATAGTTTTTCATGAAATGTGTCAGATTTGGATTTTTGTTTCTCCACTTTTTTGTGTCATACCAATACAAACAAAAGAAATAAACACAAGCTAAACGTTGGTAATTGCAACAATTTTCTGGGGGAAGTAGTGCATTATCTGACAGAAATGCAGGTGTGCCAATATTTGTGGTCACGACTCACAGTAAAGGTCCTAGATTAAAAAAAACTGCCCTGGCTTTGAGAACACAAGGCAATCCATAGGTTAGTACAACCAGCCTGCCCATAGATGGATGAAATCTCGCCAGTCTCTGCTGAACTAGCCAAGGTTTGATCCATCTATGGCTGGTTTTACATAGAAAAAACAAATTGGAGGGCTCCATGACCAAGCACACCAGATTGTTGGCTGTCAGAAATGATTTCGGGGCACTGATATCCAACAGAGCCACATCACAACCAAGAGAAGAGACAATGCAAAAATGTAAAATCCCATGCCTTTTGCTATAGTGAACAGATACCACACTCTGCCTTCACCAATACACAGTACAAGAATGAGTCATACTGTTATATGGGCTTTTATAATATTCAGAAAATCACAAAAGACGCATTGATCCAGATAAAACTTTTTTGCATATGAAGCACCCTAACTGATTACTCTATAGAATCATTACGTCATTTTGATGGGAAAACGTACAAAATAACACTTTAGGCTTCCATTACAAGGTCTCCAGGGAACCACGGTCATTACAACTGGCGCTATGTCCCAATGTTATAATTAATGTTTACAATGCTTAAAGTAGTAATCTGTAGCACTTCACTAATGTAATGGGGAAGGCTGTGTAGCGTGCAGTGCATTAGTGCGTGTTAATAGCTGTGATAAGGGCATTCCTGAGAGCCAATTAGCAATAGAAAAAAGTATGATCACACATAAAAGTATGTGACACCAAAAACTTCCTGTGCCGCTGTAAGAAGACCTTTACATAGAAGCTCTCTGCTCTTTCCACTTTCTATATCCTCTCCTGAAATACTCTGTGCTTCTGGAGGACTCTGCTCCTCTTAATATCTAACTCTCCTTTCCTGAAATACTCTGTACTGCTGGAGGACTCTGCTTTTTGGGCTCATGCACACTGGGCATTTGCCCAGGTCATTAGAATGCCTTGTCTTCTGGCAAGAGAAAAGCAGCTTAAAAAAAAGCACCTAAAGCCACATATGCCCTTCAAGCGTTTGTGTGTTCATTCATTCCATTGGCCAGGATATTAGGATATTAAAGGATAAGTTTACCTTTGGTAACATGTTACACCTATATTTAGGATGTAACATGTTACCATAGAGCAGGATTCAAACTTTCAAGTCGTGAGCTACTAGGGGAGGGGGGTGGGTGGGTGGAAGGAAGGAAGGGAGGAGTGGAAGGAAGGCAGGGAGAGAGGGGTGGGAAGGAAGGGATGGGAGGGGTGGGAAGGAAGGGATGGAGGGTGGAAGGGGGTGGAGTGGGAAGGGGGGGTGGATGGGGGGGGTGTAAGGAAGGGAAAGGGTGGAAAAGAGGGAGGGGTGTAAGGAAGGAAGGGAGAGAAGGGAGGGGTGGTGGGTGAAGGAAGAGGTGGAAGGGAGGGGGAAGGAAGGAAGAAAGGGAGGGGTAGGAAGGAAGGGGTGGAAGGAAGGGGGGGTGGGCAGAAGAGAGGGGTGGGTGGAAAGAAGGAAGAGAGGGAGGGGGGTGGAAGGAAGGGAGGGATGGGTGGAAGGAAGGAAAGGAGGGAGGGGTGGGTGGAAGGAAGGAATGAAGGGAGGGGGGGGGGGGAAGGAAGGGGGGGGGTGGAAGGAAGGAAGGGGTGGATGGGGAAGGGGGAAGGAAAGGAGGGGTGGGGAGGAAGGAAGGAAGAAAGGGAGGGGTGGAAGGAAGGGAGAGAGGCACAGGGGGGTGGGAAGGAAGGGAAGAGTGGGGGAAGAAGAGAGGGGTGGGTGGGTGGAAGGAAGGGAGGGGTGGATGGAAGGAAAGGAGGAAGGAAGGGAGGGGTGGGGCAGGAAGGGAGGGTGGAAGGAAGGAATGAAGGGAGGGGTGGGTGGAAGGAAAGGAGGGGTGGAGGGATGGAAGGAAGGAAGGAAGGAAGGAAGGGAGGGGTGGGTGGAAGGAGGGAAAGGGTGGAAGGAAGGAAGAAAGGGAAGGGTGGAAGGAAGGAAGGAAGGGAGGGGTGGAAGGAAGGGGGGATGGGTGGAAGAAAGGAAGGAAGGGAGGGGTGGGTGGAAGGAAGGGAGGTGGAAAGGAAGGAAGGAAGGAAGGAAGGAAGGGAAGGGTGAAAGGAAGGGCTGGGTGGAAGGAAGGAAGAAAGGAAGGAAGGAAGGAAGGGAGAAGGTGGTGTGGAGGATGGGGGGAGGGGCTGGGCACTGAGGAGCACAAAGCAGGGGAGGTCAAGAAACAAATGGAATGATTGGGGATGAACGGTGCAGTGTGGGGACAGTGACAGGCAGCAATCTCCTGTATGATGTTCAATGAAGCAGCTGGAAGCCGCGTCTCCTCCTCCCCCTGCTGTGGCTTCCAGCTGCTATATTGAAAGTCATACAGGAGATCGCTGCTTGTCACCACTACCCCTCCCACATATCCCTAGTCCCAGAGCTGCTTGCCCCCACCTTATTTCCACTCACCCAATGCAAGTGGGCAAGTGGAAATTTCAAGGGATGCCAAAGAGCACCTACCCGCAACCCCCCTCTCAACAAATCCCCTGCTGTGACAGTGGGCAGGGGACCTTTTTGCTGCACCCGCTGTCACAATAGAAAAAGAGTGTGGCCCTATAGGACTCTGCCCAGACAGCTGCGTAATTTATTCACAAAGCTGTCAATGAACTACGAGGGTGGTAGGGAGGCTGGTGAGCGCTCTTGTAATACATTGATCTTCCTGCTCTCCAGTAATGGTCTGCAAGAGGTGCGGGCACACAGCTATACTGAGAGTCTGCAGGAGCCTGACATTGCAGATCGTGCGTGAAATACTCTGCAGGCTCCAGAAAAAAAATTATAAATGCACATTTTTTAAACTTGCAAAAATATGTGCTTTTTTATTTTAAAAAGGTGAACTTACCCTTTAACTTATTTTGTCCATTAAAGTGAAAAAACGCTTAAGCACTAAACTCATCTAGCATTTAGGTGTGTTTAGGACATTTTTCTGCTTAAACGCTCCTCTCCTTGAATGTGCAAGTGATGGTGTTTTTTTTCTGCCTCTATATATGCTCCTCATGCTTCAAATACGCCTGTAAATGCCTATGTGTGCAAGGACATAATAGGCTACCATGGAGGAGCATTTAGAAGCAGAAAAAAAACCTCCAAATGCCTCTAAAAGCGGTGCGGTTTTTTTACGTCCAGTGTGCATGAGGCTTATCTCTTCTGGAGGACTCTGCTCCTTCTCCCATCTATCTCTCCTCTCCTGAAATACTCTGTACTGCTGGAGGACTCTGCTAATTCAGATGTATAACTACAATGAAATACTACTTTCTTGTCTGAGACAAACTTAAAAAACAAAATCTCACATCTAAGGACACAGTTAATTCTTTCCCTGTCCTGCTTCTGCATAAGTTCTCACAGAACATGATACGGTGCTGTAGAGCCAAGACACAAAACGTATATTAAAATCTACTAAATAGCATCCCAAATATTATATATATATATATATACAGTCAGGGCTTTTTTTCTCAGAGGAAAGGTGGTGGAACTCCCCCATATACAGTAGGACCACCCCTATACACACACACACATACACGGTCAACTGAAAAGCTGAGAGAGACAAAAGGACATTGTGCAGGATTGTGACCCAGAATAAGAAAAGCTACTGCAAAAGTGATTGCAGAGCTCAATCTCAGTCCCATGAATACTCTGCAGAGGCAGTTTCATCCTTCTCTCTTTACGGCCAGTTCAACTGACCATGTCAGGATTGTGAGACGTGCTTATCAGTGATGATGTTTTCCCGGAAATCCTTCTCACTGTATGTGCTGTCATAACCTTTAATACTGACACTGCACATACATTGGCAACTTCAGTCACAGAAGAACCAGATCAAGCTCCAACAATTTGCCCTCTTTGAAGTTCAGTAAGCTCTGACATGACTCCATATTAACACATATGCACACACATACACGAGTATTTATTTATATTATTCTAAATAGCTCTTCCATAGCTTCAAATTGTAAATAAAAATGATCTAATCAGTTATTTTAGCAATTACTCATTAAAGCACTCCAGATTTTCCAACTGAGTAGAGATTTCCTTTAATTTTCCCAGAAAAATACAACTTTCTGGGTCACCTGAATCATTTTCTTGGAGTCACCTTTGCGGTGGGAGGAAGGAGGATCTCCTGTGGTTTCCTTCTTAATGGCTCCTGTGAACCTGTTTTTGCTTTCCTCGAAGTGTCAGTCCGCCACAGGCTACAAGGCAATAAATTTCAAAGAGTGATCCATCATTAAAGGCGACCTCTTTTACACCAAACTGACCCGTGCTATGAAAAATCCCTTAATCATTACAAGGTCACAGTTCACCAGAATGGGGTTGATTTACCAAAAGTGGAGAGTGCAAAATCTGGTGCAGCTCTGCATAGAAACCAATCAGCTTCCATGTTATTTTTCAAAGCTTAAAAGAACAAGCTGAAGTTAAAAGCTGATTGGCTACAATGCACAGCTGCAGCAGATTTTTGCACCCTCCAGTGTTAGTAAATCAACCCCAATGTCTAATTTATATGTAATAACTCAACCTCTAAGATATATCATAAAAATAGTATATTAGTTAACCAATTGCCCTCCAGAGGATTCCCTTCCTGACCAGGCCATTTTTTGCGATACGGCGCTGCATTACTTTAACTGACAATTGCATGGGTCATACTACGCTGTACATAAATTAAATTTATGTCCTTTTTTCCCACAAGTAGAGCTTTCTTTCGGTGGTATTTGATCACCTCTACGTGTTTTTTATTTTTTGCGCTATAAACAAAAAACGAAAAAAAAGACCGACAATTTTGAAAAAAAAAAATATTTTTGACTTTTTGCTAACATAGTCCCAGTAAAAAAATGTTTAACCTCCCTAGCTGTCTGATTATGTCCATCATATTTCTGTGCTCAAAGCGGTACATTTTTTTGCATGGAAATTTGTATATTTTTTTCATTGTAGGCCTGTAATTTTTAGGAATGACTCACTGAAATCTGTCCGAACAAGAGTCTAGTAAACATCCCGGGTATGTTAAAAATTTGAAACACGAAATCATAAACTATAATTTAATAAATAATCATAAAAAATAATATAATAATAATACATTTAATTCAATAAAATTATAATCAAACCAAAAACACTGAAATTTGAAATATAGCGCCAAGTTCGCACTCACTGAGCAAAGTCGCAAAATCGTTTTCAGTGTCTGATGACGAATTTCCCCCACAAATCATTATCACTCAATTCTGCAAGTAGTTCTAATTTACTATCGCTGTTCTCTAGCTGGTCTAAAAACCGATTTTGACCCTAAAGGGACGCTTTTCGGACGCCATGGACATTTCTCAGTTTCCAGGCAGAAAGAGACACAGTAAAAATGCAGGCAGGGCACAGGACAAAGCACTCGGGACAAAATGTATGTGAAATGGTTTGTGATACAGTAATGTTTTACTATGTTATTTTAGTGAATTTAGTGAATGTCACTTTTTGTCATTTTTCAAATTTCCCGCCGTTCCATCCCCGTACGTCCCGACGTAGCAGGGAACGGAACCAGATGACAGATGCTGGCATCCGCCGGAGGACATTACAGGGGACACTGCAGGATGGACATCGCGGGAGCGCAGGGCAAGGTAAGTGAAAGAACAGATCCCAGAGCAGCGCCGCATGGTAAGCCCGAGTGTCCCGAGTGTAGCTCGGGGTTACCGCTTGTTGTGGTGCTGAAACTTTACCCCGAGCTACACTCGGGGAATACCACCAGGGAGGCTACAAAATCAAATTTCGTCATAAATTTATGCCAAAATGTATTCTGCTACATGTGTTTGCTAAAAAAAAAATCCCAATATGTGTAAATGAATTGGTTTACATGAAAGTTATAGCATCCACAAATGTCGCGTATAATATACTGGAATTTTTTTTATATATATACTGGTAACGACAGTGTGCTCGGTGACTTATAGAGGGGCTGCGGCAGGCATTCTGACACTGGGAACTGTTTACTGCCACTGACATCTGCAGTGACATTAATACAGTGATCAGTGCTAATAAAAAGCACTAATGACACTGTACTAATTTAATGGCACTGGGCAGGGAGGGGTTAACCTTTTGGGCAATCAAAGGGTTAACTGTGTGCTGTGTGTGTTTTACCTTGGAGACATGCTGTTTTGTATCTCTCTGCTGTGCAGAGAAATACAAAACAGCATGTCTTTGCTGGCAGGAGAGAGACCTGTGTTGTTTATACACACAGGCCTCTCCCCCTGTCAGCTTAGCAGGTGCTGGCGAGGAACTCCGGTCAGGATGCGGTGACTGACCATGCCCAGTTGCCAATGGCGACGTGGGGAAAGGCGGCGTGCACACCTGCCTGCGCTCCCCTACTCGGAAATGCAAATCACATATATATGATTTTGCGTAGCCCTGACTCTCTGTAACAGTAGTTCTACTATAGGGCAGCGGGGGAAGCAGCATTAAACAATATGCATTTCTAAAGTTAAGAGACACAATTTTTTTAAGTTTCCTCTTCCAATTTTTCAAATATTTAAAATGGAAGGCAGCGAATTCAAGCTTTGGAAATCATCAGAAATGTTAAAAATAATTGCATATTAGGAAAAAATGCAATTAAATAAATAATGTAATCAAGTAAAACAAGAAAATGAGCAACGTTTGTAGTGAAATGAAAAAAAAAAATGCTTTGGTAACTTCATGATAATATTTCTTCCTTGTATTGTTTCTCTTAAAAAATAAATATGCAGTACACCTGCTTAAGGTGGTGAAAGTTTTTGTTTCAGGTATATAAAAAAAAGAAAAAAAGAAAAAGTCAATATGTGTTAATAAATCAGCAAAGACAATAAATAGGTCAGTGTTGTAATAGACTACAAATTTTGACAGACCCCTTGCATCTACCTGCTCAGTGGGGGTCAGCACTATCAACTATTATACTTTAATTCTTGAGAGTAGGTTCGTAAACTGGGGCAGGCTTATAGGGGAGGGCCCCGTGTATTACTTTGCCCAGCGGCCCATGATGCCATTAAGATGACTCTGGTTCCAACCACGACTCTATTCTAAACTAAAATATAAGTTTTGGCTTTAGATACAGTTTAATATCTTCATGTAAGTGCTGAAACTTGCAAATGCCCTTTTTCTGGGTGGAAAGCAGGAAACCTGTACAGAGAGGAAAGCTGGTCCTTGTAGAACCTCAACTTAGTTCTAGAAAAGTCAATATTGGGGGTTTTATCATATAAAAAGAAATGTCTTGATCTTCTCAGTGCAAAAATCTCAAGATATGTAATAGTTTCATAAATAGCTCACCAATAATTAATAAATAGAAAGTGCTTTAAATGAATAAAATAAATAAAAAATGAATAAAAAAATGAAAAATCCTCTATTAACAACTAACTACTACACACAGGTAAAGTCCAGACCCTAAAATGTTCTCAAAAATAAAAGCAAATTTTCATAGCAATGAAGAAACAAGTGTCCAAAGGATTGTAGTTCTTCCAATATATTCCATGGCAATATACCCTCAAAAAAAAGAAAAAATCACATAGTGCATTATCCTTTAAATATCATAAATATAGTGACTCAAGTGACATAAAACCAAAACAAAACTATTATATTTTGTGAAAAAAGTGAATAAAGTGAGAAAAAACGGTGAATCCAAACAGTGAAAAACACTGTGTATGTGAATCACTTTTCAGTCCTCATATTCACACTAACACTGTGACACTTCTAATAGTGGTAAGGAATGCATACCCTTACCAATAATCAAAAGCAAAGATGCTTTCAATATCATATATATGCTGGTGGGAGATGACCCTCTTGTAGAACTCCACAATATCTAACATTCTCTTCATAGCGTATCCAGATCCATTAATCATGATACTCCATGTATCCCCATATATCCGGCACCATATAGATGTAAACATTATGAGGGACAAAATAGTGTAATACCGCCAACAATGTTAAGATCCAATATACTTTAATATAACTGCTCACATTAATAACACTTTAAAATCGCATAAATACCAAGTAGAAACCTGCTGCCATCCAGGATAAACATCCAGAGATCTGAAGATGTACTTTGCCCTTTTCCAAAATGGCCACCGGTCAACTTCCGGTTCCCATGTGCATCCTAACGTCACATCCCTTGACGCGTTTCGTCATCGACTTAATCATAAGGGATCTTAATCATAAGGGATCCCTTATGACTAAGTCGATGATGGAACGTGTCAAGGGAAGTGACGTCAAGGAGCACACGGGAACCGGAAGTTGACCGGTGGCCATTTTGGAAAAAGGGCAAAGTACATCTTCAGATCTCTGGATGTTTTTCCCGGATGGCAGCAGGTTTCTACTTGGTATTTATGCGATTTTAAAAGTGTTATTAATGTGAGCAGTTATATTAAAGTGTATTGGATCTTAACATTGTTGGCGGTATTACACTATCTTGTCCCTCATATCGTTTACATCTATATGGTGCCGGATATATGGGGATACATGGAGTATCACGATTAATGGATCTGGATACGCTATGAAGAGAATGTAGATATTGTGGAGTTCTACAAGAGGGTCATCTCCCACCAGCATATATAAGATATTGAAAGCATCTTTGGTTTTGATTATTGGTAAGGGTATGCATTCCTTACCACTATTAGAAGTGTCACAGTGACAGTGTGAATATGAGGACTGAAAAGTGATTCACATACACAGTGTTTTTCACTGTTTGGATTCACCGTTTTTTTCTCACTTTATTCACTTTTTTCACAAAATAATATTTTTGTTTGGGTTATATGTCACTTGAGTCACTATATTTATGATATTTAAAGGATAATGCCACTATGTGATCTTTTCTTTTTTTTGAGGGTATATTGCTGTGGAATATATTGGAAGAACTACAATCCTTTGGACACTTGTTTCTTCATTGCTATGAAAATTAGCTTTTAATTTGAGAACATTTTAGGGTCTGGACTTTACTTGTGTAGTTGTTAATAGAGGATTTTTTCATTGTTCATTTTTTATTCATTTTTTATTTATTTTATTCATTTAAAGCACTTTCTGTTTATCAATTGTTAAGTCTTCAGGGGTGAAGGTGTTGTTGGTGCTTTGGGGTGTTGATTGTACATTTATAATATTTAGGAAGTGGTTATAATTTTTATAGCTCACCAATAATGTCTGCTTACAGTGTTTCAGATTATTTTCGACTTCCATTTTGCCCCTTTTGTGTCTGTAAAATTGCTCACTTGATGTTACTAAAATGTTACTGTTTTGATCCCATTAATGTAGAAGTATTGCGCCAGGGTTACAAAAAACTCACACTGCTGCCATCTAGTGTCCACTGACTCTCATTAGTGAAGTCCCATATTGCACTTTGACAAATGTTTGGTACAAACAGACTTAAAGTGGAAGGAAAGGCTAACATCAAATCTGACAGTTAAAGTGTTACTAAACCCACAACAGTAAAATCAGTCTGTATATGCAGTAAAGCATGCTTGCTATATATTCACTGTGGAACCTAAAGGGTTAATCCTCTGCATTGTGTAAAAAGGCTGGTTGATCCTGTCTTCTCTGCCCCTCCTCTTGTTCAAATGTCCATACAGACTGAACCCGTAGCCACATGCATGCTCAATTTGGTGTGTATTGCTAGAAAGGCTTTTTTTTTCTTGTGAGAGTACACGTGATCAGCACAGGACCAATCAGCACGGTCAGGGATCCTGCATCCTCCTAGAGCAGAAAGTAAACTCCTCCTGTAAGCTTTAACCAGTGCTCGGCTGAAGTCACAAGACTGCTGTAACTGCTGATGAGAAAAGGTATTTAGCCATTTATATATTTTCTAAAATAATTGCAGCTCCATGTTCTGTGTACTGTGGGAGACCAGAATAATAGTGAATGCAGGGTCCTGGGTTTAGTAACACTTTAAATCTTCCCTGCCCTTCTTTCAGATGGTTCTGCATAGCTTTTGTAACAAATTGCAGTTTAAATATCATTCTGTGTTTTTTTCCATGCAATTTCATAAGAGGAGACTCTATACTCCCGACCAGGGGCGAACTGGACCATTTGGAAACTCGGGCACTGCCCGAGGGCCCGGGGTCAGTAGGGGGCCCCATGAGATGCCCCTGGTACCCTTTTCAAGGCATTTTTGAGTTTGGGCAAGGACACAGGGGTCCCATGATCCCCTATTGCCCAGGGGCCCCATGAGTTGTCAGTCCGCCCCTGCTCCCGACAACAGCTAGTGCGATGGATCCTGACAGGTTACATTCATCCCTGTTGTTGGCCCTCTGGAGCTGGAGCTTTGTGATAAAAGGTATGCAGGGCCATGGCGAAAAACAGGGAAGGGGGGATTTAAATATTTTTTTTCTGCTACTTTAAAATATATATCTACATTTTGGAATACCTGTAAGGTTTCTTTTGCTGTCTGGGCCCTTGCTGAGCAGATTCACCTCCTCTATTTGTGTTAATGGCCACTGTCCTCCAAAACAAAGTGATGGGAAATTCAGAATTCTACTGTTGTCACCATAACAAGAAGTGGGAGGAAATTTTCTAATGAGGACATCTGATCTAGTAACCACTGTGTCCCCTAACTTTAAAAGGATTTCTTTGTACTTCAAGGGAAAATGTGGCCAAAGGAACACAAAGGAAGACAGCAGCAGCAAAAATGTATAAACTGACATGGCCACACCCTCTTTCCTCCATCCAAAAGGCTTTAAAAATAAAGTATTGGTGTAGATATTGGGTCCTACAGTGCCATAGATTTCAGGGAGGAACCATCAATCATGACTG